AGTAACTGGCCCAAAGTCCCCCAAGCTGGCTTTCATGGCTAAAGCAACACTTGAACTCAGTCTCCCACTTTCTAGCCTGGTGCCTGAACCAAATGCTCTTCGGACCACTATTATATCCTGGATTAAAGGGGTGGAGGAGGCATGTAACAAAGCTCAAGGTAAAGGTAAAAACTAAGTGTGCTTGGCCACGTTTAGAATCCGGTTTGGTGTCGTCTCCCTTGCTGTTTTGTCTATGGAGATTTTCAAGCCATCCTGGTCCGTGGTTGACCCAAAAGGTGCTTTTTTTTCAAGAGGCAATAGGATTTTCTTGTGTGTTTTTTTTCTTTGAACCTGAGAGCTGAAGAAGATTCTATAGGAAGAGAAGCGAAACGTCTTCAAAGAAAAACAAGAAAAGCCCAGTTGCGTCTTGGAAAAAGAAATAGCACCTTTGGGACTCCCGATATTCTTCCGAAAAGGCTCGTATCGTATATCTCTTCCCCGCCAGAAGCGACACCCAAACCTTCCACACCTACCCTCTTCCTTAGCGAAATACACCGTTATCTGCTCTTCTCTGTCGGGATCCACGAGGATCTTGCATTCCCCTCCTCCCGATCGCTTGGGGCTTTGGAAGTAACAAAGGAGCTTGTTCTTCAGAGGTTTGCTCAGGCTGCAGCCCCAGTTCCCCTTGACCACAAGCGGGAAGCGACAATCTGCCTCGCCCTCGGCCATCGCTCCTCTTGCTCCGACGTCGAGGCGGACTCTCGAGTTCCACTTTCGATTTCCTTTCTCCGCTCCAACTTGGCCGCGCCTCGCGAGAGCTTTACGCAACTTTTAGGCTTCCTCCAACCGAGCGCCCTCTAAAGCACGTTGAACTCCCCAACACCCATCCCTTCTCCAGCCAATGCCGCTGATGGGAGGTGTATTCCAGATCACGCGAGGGCCAGGATTGGTTGCCTACTCTTGTGGGGTACAACCGTGGGAGCGGAGTCCTGTTGACCCGTAATTCCAATATTCAATATTCCAATATTTGAGGAGCTGACACAGAGAGGAGGCGGGGGTGGTGGTGGTCCAACCTATTTTCCAAAGCACCCGAAGGCCAGACAAGGAATAATCCAGGGCTCTTCAAACTTGGCAACTTTAAGACTTGTGGACTTCAACTCCCAGAATTCCTCCTCCAGTCATGTTAGCTCAGGAATTCTGGGAGTTGAAGTCCACAAGTCTTAACCTTGCCAAGTTGATAAAACCATGAATTTAGGGCCTATCGGAAAAGCAAGAGGGTGGGGGCCAACCATAACTTCGGAGGGGGATTGCTGAGCCATAGAGAGGAGGCCACCACAGAGAAGGCCCTTAAATATGAAGCCAGCTTCTATATTTCTTAACCAGTGAAATTTGAGAAACAGTCTGATGCAGACTAAAAAAAAGCTGGGAGACCAGGAGACCTTGTCCTGTCCTTTCTAGGTGCAATGCCGGCTGGCTGACCCTTAGGCCAGCCACTTTCTCTCAGCCCCAGGAAGGAGGTAAGGGAAGCCAGAAAGATGGCTTGGTACAGGAACCCAAAGTGAAGAAACCAATTTTCATACAGAATCAAGGAAAGACAAAGCACAAACTCTTTTTATTTCTGTACAGAAGCAGAAGAGGACACCTCCGGGTTTCCCCTCCAAGGAGTGCACCAGAAATGGGACTCAGTTTCTGCAGTTGGAATTTGATCTCTATTTATTTATTTTTTAAATTTTAATTGTTTTTTTTTTGTATTATCTTTTTATCATTTTGTAAACTACCCAGAGTTGCTTCACCATGACATGGATGGCATATAAATAATAATAAAATAAAATAAATTTAGTTGGATCTCCTTCTTCACTCAGGCTCTTCCTTGTCATTTTGTATAGAATCAGAACTATTTTCTTTTGCTTGGAATGTTTGTTGTTATTGTATGACAGCCAAAATAAAGCAACATTCTTTCTCTCCCTATTAGTTTTCTTTCCACTGTTTATGCCCACTTTTCCTATCTCCCCCTTTATTCTTATCTATTCTATAGGGGTGCCAAAAGTCTTTTCTGCTGAAAGGAAACAATTTATGCAGTCCGAAGAAAAACCGGAGGTTCATCACAGAAATTGGGGAAAACTCTTTGTCTCTTTCCTAAAGATTCCGACATAAATGACTTTAAACAAAGTAGAACACTTTATTTATTAGAAAAATAATGAAATAAATATTTTTTAGTTTTGAATTCTGCAATTCTTTTTTTCTGGGCCAATTCTAAACTAAATTAGAATATCTCAATGCAAAAAAACACACACACACACAATCAGCCTATCAGAGCTTAAAAGAGATAACAGGGAAGTTATGGAGCTGATCTTCGTCACTGATCTTCATTTGTTTACAGTAGTAGTCAAATACCTGGCTTTGGAGCTGTGGATGAATATCTCCAGGCATGGAGAGGTCAGTCAGAAAGAACAGAAGACCTCAATGGTATCCAAAACAATTTTTTTTTCTAGAAAATGTAACATTATGTGGTCAAGGCAGTCCAAACAGAATGGACTACTGCAATACACTTTCAATGCGGCTGCTTTGAAGACCATTCAGAATCTGAAATTGGTGCTGAATACAGTGGCCTCCATGCTGCTAGGTGAGAGCAGCTATGGATGTATAATATTAGTGTTGTGGGCCATTCGTTCATTCCCAATAACCTTCTGAGTATAGTTGAAGTTTTAGTTCCAGTTTTTAATGCCCTACATCATTTGACTCCAAGGTACAGGTAATCTTCATTTAACTACAGTAATTTGTACAGGAAAGTCCATTGTATGTGAGAAACTACATCACTGCCCTGCAAAACAGCAGTTCTAGTAGGAGAGGACCTCACATAACTGTGATTTGCAACTTCCTACCAACTTCCTATTACTTTGTCGGAAAGTGGTAGGGAAGGTTCCAAATAGTAATCATTGTAACTGCATGGAATGTTGTGATGTCCATAATTCAAGGACTGATCATAACTACCACTTGCTCAGTGACATTGTAAGTTTGGCTGCTGAAGGAGTGGTCATGAAATGAAGGTCTACCTGTACCTTGTAGAGTAACTTCTCTAGGTAGAACTGACCTGTCCAGTGTATTCATCCCAGGCGTGGCAATCTAGACTGTCCCAGTTGTGAGCCAAAGGAATGGTGCCCTTTCTCTTGGCATCTTTTAAAAAGATTTTGATGATAACATAAGAAGAGCAAACTTAGGGCCAATTAATAAATGCCACTTGAAACATCTGTTTGAACGTGAAGAGGAAACTTCCTATTTTTTTTTACAGACAGACAGATAATCAGAGTTGGAAGGGACCTTGTAGGTCATCTAGTCCAACCCCCCTCCCAAGCGGGAGACCCTACACCATTAAAAAGAAAAAGATGTTTCTGGATGGGTTGCAAAAATACAAGGATATGATCTCATTAATACTAAAATAATGCTCTCCAAGTCTTGGTTAGGAAAGCATCTCAAAGAGGTCCATAATACGAACGTGTAATGGTAGCGTTTGGCATTACATTCCAAAAAGTTGTTTCGGAGGAGTACCCCGTCTGCAACGCGGGAGCTTTTTTCTTTAACATTCAGCAGGCACAGAATCGAATTTATTGGAAGGTTAAAAAATTCTAAAGTACCGCAAGGGCCCTAAACAATGAGCGACGGTGTCCTATCTGTATTAAATAAGTCTCCTGTCTGCATTTGCTACGGGATCACCGCCTGTCCCATTCAACGCCGTTCAACCGAACCGCCAGCAATCTGCAAGGCAGGAGTGCGCGTGACGTGCATTTTAACCTTGGTCTTTCATCGCGCACCCTAGAGGCCCGGGCTCCTTCTATCTCCGCCCCTCTGTGCCGAGTTGTGACCAATAGCATTAATTCTACCACGATCCCGTGATTTCCTATTGGCTGTCAGGAGCGGCACGCTTTCACTCCGGCTCCGACACCTTGGTGATACGGGACTCGGGAAGAAGGAGGCCAAGATGGCGGCCGCTTTGGCGGCTCGGGATGTTTTCCTTTTTTCCAGCCCGTTCTCGGCTTTCCTTCTTTTGGCTGAGCTGCTTTTGCTGGCTCAAGCCCCGGCCTTTAACATCGCCTCTCCCTTCTGTCACCACCACATCCCCAGTGCCAGGGAGGTGAGGATCCTGGGGGAATAGAGGGAGGCAAAATATTCCGAACAAGGGAAACGGATGGGCTGAACTGCGGGACTTAAGCCATACATTCCATTTTTATGTGTTTTTTCGCTTGCTCGTTTAAGTGTTCAGAGTTGCTCCCATCGTATTTGGGACTTAGTTGACTGAACAACAGATTATTGAACCAAATTGTGTGTGTGGGGGTCACTAATGGAAGTACAGCCACATTTCAAAACGACGTTTCCTGGTTGGTGATACATAAGGGTTGCGAAAGAAAAGGCTGAAACGTTGTTTTTAAACTGTTCATTCTAAAACCAATGCGGCCCTTGGTCAACTGCTTGTTTGAAATGATAATCCCAAACAGGTTACCTGGAAGTTAGCCCCTTGCATCTTACCTAGTAGTTTTCTTGTTGGATTCCCCATTCATCAAGATGCTTTATTGGCCAGGCTATTTTTCTGAAGATTTTGCAGGCTTTTCAGAGAAAAACATATGTTGAAAATGCAAGGATGGATTTTAAAAACTTGGCAAGTAATTGTAAAAGAGAAAAATCACTTGAAATTAGTTCATAGATCTATTTCAGAAACTTTGCCTATATACTTGTGGTGAATAATAGAAATAATAGAAGGCTGTGCAACCAAATAATAAATATTTTACATACAATCTATTAAAATAAATATGTTTACCTTCCTTTCTACCAAATGTTATTGAGTAATAAGGCTCATTGTGGTTATTAGGAACTGAACACAAAGCAGTTGTATCTATGCTTCAGTTGTAAACATGATAGATCTTAATACTTATCAAAGCACTTTTATTAAATGCACCTATTCTCTAAACAGGTTATTTACAAAGTTTATCTTAAAGAAAATCGAGTTATGAAAAGAAACATTAATGAACAGCTAAGAATTAAAACTGTATATGACAGAAGTGTTGAAGTGTAAGTATAATAATTCCAAAATTATTATTGTTAATAGGAATAGCATTCAGTTTCCCTATCTGAACAAGTAGTTAAAACAAATGGTAACCAATAGCAAAGGAAAAGGGAATGGGACTCAGCTGGCTTTATAAAAAGTGAAGTAATTTGTAATTTGTTTAGTAACGGTGTTTTATGAAGATTAAAAAATGTCTACTGACTGCTCTCTCTGTTCATAGATTGCTCCCTGAAAAAAAACATCTTATAAAGGTAAATTAGTTTTGAATTATCTTTTCTTACATGAAATACTGGTTTAATTATTTTAGGCTAAAGATCTGTGTGATGTATACTTTCAAGGTTGCATTCTAAGTTGCCTAACATCTATAACTGTTCTAGGAAATTATGGCAGATATAATTCACCCATAATGCTAAGCCATAATGTTGTTTCTTTGCTTTTGATTTAAAACAATGCATGGATTAGGTCACTCTAACAAAGCATAAATATATTTCCTTCATTATGATTAATATGTCAGCAATAAGATACAGGCTCACATTTCTCATTTCCTTTCTTTACACCTCCCTTATACAAATTCCATTTTGTTTTAAGTCCAGATTTAGCAAAAATCACAATATGTTAGGATTAATTTGTTTCTATCTCAGAGATAACAAGTTACCTGCCAGATTAAAGAAGTGAATTCCCATCTCATCAGTTTCAGCCCTTACATATTTGCAGCATGCAGCTAGTTCGGCTGATGAACAAAAGTAGGTAGGCAGTTATTCATTCTTCAAAACTTTTATTTCAACACCAGAATCTGTGCCTCAACTGTCCACTAGTAGATTCAGCATAAAATGATAACATCAGTAAAGGTAATAATATTTTCAGAAGTGCCAGTGTTTAATCTAAAATATACAGTATGCTTTTCTGGATTATTATTTCTTCTTAAAATTCCTTCTTGTTTCCTGATGTTACTATTTTACTTTATTATAGGTTTGACATAATATCTTTGAGGTCTTGTATCAGGTGGGATTGTTTCCCCTCCCTAAGATTTTAAGTTTACCAACCACAAATTATCCAACTATGATAGTTTTCAAGAATGGAACTCTTGTGATTGGCAAGGGGTTACTATATCTTTTTAAATAAAGTTAATGAGCTCATGGCTGTGAAAATATGATTACAAGGTCATTAGAGTTTTGACTTAAATCTTTAGAAGGAATTTTTTAAAGTGTCAAATCCTTTTTTATTGTGTTATTTTTCTTTTGTTTAGAACAAGCTCTTCCCACAAGCTATTTCTTATTTAGAGAAGGCATTTCAAGTTCGGAAACCTATGGGTACTGTCTTGTTAAGTAGGTATGTATATTTTCCAGCATTTTTAATTGGGAGAATCAAGGAGATTTATTTTTACAAATGCATTCCATATATTATTTTTCATCTCTCAAAGAGAGAAGCTCAATTTGAATAAGCAACTTAACATTCTGACACTGCTTAATAGCTTTTATAATTAGGCTGTTGTTTTGTTTGGGACTGTTATGTGCATTCATCTCACTCATAAATATGTGATTATGATTTAATTGAAGACAGTGTGTAACAAACCAGTATTTAAGGAAGAAGGATGATCCTCACAGATACTGTCGAGAAGCCTGTGCAGAACATACCAAGTGTGGGCCAGTTATAGTCCCTGAAGAACACCTGCAGGTAACTCAAACTTACTTTATGATTTGTAGCTCAGATTATGCAGGAATATTTATACCAACAAAACGTGCAAATATAGTAGCCACCACATTTCCTTCTAATTGGCAAAACTTGCTAAGAAAAATGCTAAAGCACCTATATCAATTTAATTTGCCTGATGCACTTTGAACTGTGTGATACGGCAATTTTCTCTTACAGTTACCTTTTGCACAAGACCAAAGGAAGACAGCTGTACCATGACATGTGAAAATTTTTAATTTAAGTTTAAAAAAAACCAGAAACCTAGAAAAAAAGATGATAAATATATATATGTGAATATTACATTTCTTTTTCAAATTTCTTTATGAACTTTGGGTCTTTTCAAAGCTCTTTTAGAATTTGAAAATGTTGCTGTCTAGAATACTTTGAAAGCAGGGATGGGATTCAAATTTTTTAACAACTGGTTCTGTGGGCGTGGCTAGGTGAGCATGACCATGTGATTGGGTGGGTGTACCCCCCCATGTGTTGTGGGCCTCCTTTTTGCTCCTGGGCCTCAGGGAAGGCCAAAAATGGAGTGCAAGGCAGGCACGGCACCCCCTCTGTGCTCTGTTTTTGGGCATCCTGGGCCCCAGGGAAGCCTCCGGGGGGGGTGCGTTTTTGCTCCCAAGAAGCTTCCCTGGGACCCAGGAAGGCAAAAAATGGAGTGTACCTGTGTGCCCCTTTGCCTCCTGGGCCCCAGGGAAGCCTCCTGGGCGAAGCAGTAAGACAGTGAGGGGGGGTCCCGGCACAGCTGTTCATCAGAAGGCATGGCAGGAGCACGATTTGCCTGTTGTCTGAACTACGCAGAATCATAGAACCGGTAGAATCCCACCCCTGTTTGAAAGCTATCAAGCTCTTTTTCTTTGCCACAGGCATAGTGTAAAACTTTAAAAACAATTAGAATAGAATCTTAATTCAAATGTTTTTTTAGCCTAAGAAAAAATTGTAGGAAATATGTACGTTTTATGGTTAAAAGAAAGAAACCAGTTGGTCTACTGGTGAAAACATCGGGTTAGTAGCCAGCAGATCAAATGTTCTAGTCCCGCCTTAAGCATGATGACTGTTGGATAACTTTGGACCAGTCAATCTCGTTCTCAGCCCAACCCACCTCATGGTTGTGGGGAAAATAGGAACAGGAAGGAGAATTAGGTATGTTCCTCGCCCTATAAAGGTGGGATAATAATTTAAATAAATAAATAAATAAATATTTGAAGACTATTTGACACTGATTTCTTAAAATGTATTGTCTTAGCAATGTAGGGTATGTAATATGAATGGACGGAATTGTCAGACTGTTGGTGAAGCAGACAAGGAAGGCATTCGAGATGCTGATTTTATACTGTATGTTAGTGCTCTGACTACTGAAAGATGTGGCCAAGAAAACATCATCGCATATGCAGCATATTGTCAGCTAGAAGCAGATATGGACAGGTAATCTCCAAGCTAACTTTAAATCGATGAACTATCAGATGAAATGCTCTGAAAAGACTTACTTGCCATCCGGGGATTGATCAGATTTCTCCAAGGACAAGGATAGATCTGTCAGTAGATGTCACAAGTAGTTTTCACAACTGGCTACTTTTCCCAGAGTCATTGTTTCCCCATCTCAGAAAGTTTGGTTCAGAGGGTGGACTGTGGGGAGCTACAGTCCTCAAGTATTTCCAATGAGGATTTACCTGCATGTATTCTGTTTTGAGCAGTGAGAGAGGGAAGGGTGGACGATGTAGCCAGGGAATCAGAAAGACATAAATATCCTACCCCCCTCACTTCTTCCCTGCTGATCTTCAGCTGATAATGCATAATTCTGTGATTACACCGCAGGAAAGGTCACACAGAACCTTCAGTGAAGAGAGCAGCAGGAAACAGGATTCCAAGTGAGTCCTGCTGACTGAGTTTTTCCCCATGTGAGAATAGTAGGAGAATGATAGCCCTGCAGTGATCTGAAGGCTTTCATAGGAAGCCACATTTTAAAGTGTGATGCCACAGTGATTCCCCTTGTGGTGCCCGGGTGTGATGGTGAGCAGTTGGCCTGCAGAATCTCCCATAGTATATAGCTTTCGTGCTTCCTATCCCACTTGTTTGTTTGTTTTTAACATTTTTTTAAAAAAGGTAGACCAACTTTTATTCCCAGAATCTGCTCAGGTGGATACTGTATACATAATAGTTGGCTGCAACACAGGCTTTGTTTAAAAATATGCTTATCTGCCTAGAAAAGAAAAGTGATAAAGAGTATCGTGCAAGGTGAGGCTATATTCAGTTAGCTTTATGTATCCAACAAACTATCAAGTTACTTATGGTAACTCTGTGGCAAAAGCACCAATATCATGTCACTATTTAAAACTATTTTTTGGTCCACAGACCAAAAAGTTTGAGACCCAGTAATATAACAATTGTGGTCTTGCCCTTGGACTTCCCTCCTATCTTCATTGAGTTACTACGAGAAAAATAAATAAAACATGACTGTGTGAAAACTATTTAAAGCTTCTTGAGGAAAGACATGATATTAACACATTCATTATTAAAGATCTGTAGCCTGAAGCAAGAAATATTTTATTGAAGGGTCATCATCTCAGGATCATAGACTGTATCCATGGCTGAGAAAATCCCAAATATGAGAATCACTTCTGTATGGCCTGTGTTGCTGGATATGTGATCAATATTGAGTTTTTTCTTAGCACGGTAGAAAGTGAGTATGTCAAGTGAACTTAAGGGGGGAAATGGATATTTGATAGGAAGCTCAATAGATGAAATTTGTATAGGTACTATAGTTTTCCATACATAAGTACCACTAATTGAGAGAGAACATTTTTTCTTTTTTCTGAATTTTCATTCCACAGATTTAATGGTTGCATGAGGAAAGGTTACTCCAGGAACATTTTTGTATATAAGATGTTTGTAGGCTATGATAATACAAGATATTTACATGTAATAATGAAGCGTAGCATTTTTAAATTCCTTATTTTGTACAACGTATCTCCATTTTTCCAGACCAATTGCAGGATATGCTAATCTGTGTCCAAATATGATTTCAACCCAACCACAGGAGTTTATTGGCATGTTGTCTACAGTGAAACATGAAATCATTCATGCTTTGGTAAGAATTGGTATTTGATGCTGTGTTGTTTTTTTTTAAATCCTGTAAAGAATAGATTTCTAAAAAATTTGTACTGGGGCTCAAAAATTCTATAAAGTATACAAGATCACAATCTCTAGATCTTTATATCAGGCACAATATTAAAAGAGGAAGAGGAAGAAAAGATAGTAGTGGTTCACCAGAGGAAAAGGATAAAAAATCAAGACTGTTTATAAACATTTAAGCTTCAATATTATTAGCATTTTTTGATCCTGTCCAATTCCCCAACTTCTCTTTATATTTTTTGTCATTCACCATTTTTTTCAAAGTCTTATCTTTGAGATTGGCTAAATAAGGCATTGCCCTAATACTTGGTTTGGAATTTAACATATTAGTCATATTTTCTTCATGCTATACTATGCTAGAATTTTTGTGATGGTTGTGTTTTTGTGAATATTTCTGACACAGATAATCTTTGCTTAATGACTACCCTATTCAATGATTATTCAAAGTTACAACAATGCTGAAAATGTAAATTTATCACCAGTCCTCATACTTACAACTGCCACTGTGTCCCACAGTCATGTGGTTGCATGCTTCAGGGCCAGCTTCTGACAAGTAGAGTCAATAAAAAAGCTATCTGTTGAATGTTGTGGTTGCCTGTGGTTCTTGCTTAACGACTACTGATGATTCATTTAATGACAGTGGCAAAGGTGAGGTTATAAGTCTGGTGCAGTCATGTGATACTAGTCATGTCATTAGTGATGCAGTTACCAGTCCCAATTATCATTAATTGAGGACTACCTTGGTGTGGGATTGTGTCTTTCTTCCTCTCTTCCTAGCAATTTTCTGTCAGAAGTTGTTGTAACGTAAAATACTTTTGGGGTTTTATTTAAGGGTTTCTCTGCTGGACTTTTTGCATTTTATCATGGTGACGATGGAAATCCTTTGACTGCTAGATACGCAAATGGATTGCCACTATTTAATGAAAGGTATATTCTGACTTTTACCATTTTTACAAAACTGATTTCACTGAACAGTACTTGTGGATATGATTAAAAATAGTTATTATGCAAATAGCATACCTGCTCCTTGGTTTTCAGTGGTAATTGCATTGGAAGTCAGTTGTCTTGAAGATACAATTGCTACTTTACTCAGATATTCAATAGTTGAGACTCAGCTTATTGATCATATTAAGAACTAATCCTGCTTCCCAGTTGTAACAACTGAATTGTCTTCCTTTCAGCCTTGGTGTGTATCAGTGGAGTGATAAAGTTATACGTAAAGCAGTAAGATTATGGGATGTGCGGGATAATAACATTTTGCCTCATAATGTATTCCTTTTGGTAACTCCTAAGGTAGTTGTAAGTATTATTTTTATTTTATTTCACAAAAATCTGAACTGGTTGTCTAGATTCTTAGTGGCAAATAGTGATGGAAGCTATGTTCAACATGTTAAGATTCAGCCCTACTGCTCAGTCTCTGACAAAAATGTTTCCTCATATTGTCAGTTTCGAAATCAGTTTAGCTTGGAAACCAATTCCTGAGGGTTCTCTGAATGACAAGAGAAGATTAACCAGGAAATATACTGTACCTATAGATGCATATTCTCCAAACCCCCAGTGTCCTTCAAACACTGCCACAGAATCTGGAATAATTATAATGCCTCAATACTCTGCCTCCCTCAATTCTCTATAGCAGAAGAAGCAAATTTGTCGATCTTTTAGGTGTTGATTTAGTTCAGCTAGCATCCCTTATTGTACTCTGCTTCCTCGGGCTCCTGGGAGTTAAATAGATGAGCATCTAAATTGCCACACACTGTTATGTGTGAACAAAGGTTCTGGGAAAATTATTCCACTTCCACGCTATTGCTGCTGCTTCTACTTTATGGGGAATTCTTGATGGTTCCAGTTGTATTTAAATTATTAAAATATTTATGTTTTTTCCTGCTCTCTATAATTTGTAATGATTTTAAGAATTGAATCATTGCTAAATGCTCCATAATAATGTACTGCAGGGGCTGAGGCTGTGTGATCTGTCACAGAATCACCCTTTTGCTGGTTTCCAAGTGCTATTAATTTATAATGAAGTTTCTTGACTTCAAGAAAATATGAAAGCACTTTAGGTTCTCATTAAAAATCTCTGTTGGGTAAATATAATGTAAACTTGATGTGTAAAATGAAGCAGGTGTTATTTTGAAATAAATAATGTTGAGATTTGTTTTATACCTTTCTAAAGGAGGAGGCAAGAAAACACTTTGACTGTCCAAATTTGGAAGGAATGGAACTAGAAAATCAAGGTGGCATAGGCACAGAGCTTAATCACTGGGAGAAACGGTTATTAGAGGTAAGTATACTCAATATATAGATATTCATGGGGTTGTTTCAGTATGAAATTCAGCCTGTAGAATCTCAACTGGTTTTGTCTCTAGTAAGTAGTAATAGAGCAACTCAAGGATGTTTAGAATGATTTTTTTTATTGATCAGTACAGCCGGAATGAATACAGGTATATATCATTAACTAAAAACTAAAAGGCATCAGAGAATATATTGTAGCCTTTATCTACATACCTGGACTTATTTAATTCCTTTATTTTGAAGGTTGTAGAGAAGAATTCTATGTTAGTCTGTAAATAATAGAAAATTGATTGTTTAGTATGCGAAGGAAAGATGCAAGGTATCTTTGTCAAGATACCAGGCCAGGAATGAAAGTTCATGTATATTTTATAATTTAGAAGCATTCACATTAACAGTTACAGTAATTAGATTCTCCATTCTTCCATTTAGCTACTCTATTGCTCTATTTCTTATTATAAGAAAATCCTGGATGTAATTTACAGATAGCTCCCTGATATCCCAAGAGCAACTCCTAATTTCTCTGTGATTATTAAAGTAATGAAATATGCTTCCCTATTGGCAAAAATATTATTTTTCTCTCCCACTTCTTTGCTTCCCACAAAATGCAGAACTGTTTCTCTGGTTACTTTACTGCAGCTAACTATTATTGATTTTGTTTAATTCCAGAATGAAGCAATGACTGGATCACAAACACAGAACAGGGTCTTCTCCCGGATTACTCTGGCATTAATGGAAGACACGGGGTAAAAAAAAGATGCATTATAGTTATATAATATTACCTGTAGTGCTTTATAAATTACTTCCAAAGTGTTGCAAAGCCCTAGTAAGTGGAGAGTAGGAGATACTTCCTAACAGGCCATAAGTGTCATGGATTTCTCTGCACTGTTGGAAATGCATAAAAAGACATGTAAGAGAATAGCAGAAACTGGTGGGTAGATGCCTAGTCAGATAGAGTTGAATGGTGTTTATGGTGGATTTTGTGTTATCCGTTGAAACACATTCCCAGTACTTTATAGCAGCAACCTTTCCGGCTCAGTGGACCTGCGAAGGTGGCAGCGACAGGGTGGGGGTGGAGAGGGGATAGTTTCAGTGTATGTGCATTGCATTCACAAATGCAGCTTCACTTGCACACGCACACACCCACTACATCCATGGCTAGTTCTGAATGGGCTGCAGCCCAGTACTGGACCACAGACCAGGGGGTTGGGGATTCTTGGTTTTTTTTTCTTTTCATTATTTCATTAATGAAATATGCTTAAGTATTGGGAAGGAGGACCCGGGAGTCTTGGGCAACATAACACAGGTGCCTTCTTTACAACCTAATAATCCCTAAGACTATTAACACTTTGATTCTTTGATGTTAATAGTTCAGAAAGTTGGACTCTAAAAAATCTTTCCATTTCCATTTGTTATTTTTACAGCTGGTATAAAGTGAATTATAGCATGGCAGAAAAACTAGAATGGGGCCGAGGAAAAGGCTGTGATTTTGTGATGAAAAGCTGCAAGTTTTGGATCAATCAGCAACGGAGAAAGTAAGAATAATATAGGTGCACTGCATGTTCATTGATGGCCTTGAAATTGTCCTTACACATTAACTATTGTGAATAGTGAGTAGTGTTTATTAATACCGAAACACACATGTATAACACGTTAACTGCTGTTCTGTTTTTAATCTTAAGAAAAGAACCAGTAGCCCCATATTGTGACACTCTGAGAAGTAATCCATTACAATTAACATGCAGGCAGGACCAAAGAGCAGTAGCAGTGTGCAATTTACAGAAATTCCCTCAACAGTTGCCTCAGGAATATCAGGTATGTTGTATGACACATGAAACAAAAGTATGCCTCATTCTTCTGAATTAATAACCTTGTTCAGAAGCAATGTTAAACCAAAGGCTGTATTCATTCAATGGGCTATGCCAGGGTTTATGTATTAGGTGATAATTACTTTGGTTTTATCATTACAAGGGATTAAAGCATTCCTAGTGCCCTTCCGTATACTTACAGTTGCACTGATTCTGTCTAGTGGAGAAGGGTTTAAGAGGGAAGATAGATGCTTTAAGGTTCTACAAGACTTAGGCTACCCGTTTTGCCTCTTAAAACTATCTAAATCCCCAAATTAGGAAATAAAACATCCCAGAGAGATACCTTGCTGGTTCAAAGAGCAGGAATACAAAATGTAATAGTAAGTCATAACAAGCACCGTCTCCTGTTACAAACTGTATTGATTAGGTTTAAACATTGTGAAAAGCCAGGCATCCTCATTCACCGTGTTTGTGTGAATCCAGGTTTAATATTACAAGAGCATCTTTTGTCTTCTAATAATATTATGAAAGCATCCTTTGTCTTCATCATCCCTGCTTCTTGGCTACTCTTCCAGCATAGCAGAAAAAAGGGTTTAGATCAGTGCTTTTTTAATGAATCCAACTTACTTCTTTTGAAGTTAAAAGGAATTGAAATCTGTATAATTATACTTGAAGAGCGTACAAGCATCTTCACATTGGGTTAAAAATTTCAGTGTTTCATTTTTTTCCATTAAATCACTCCCAATTCTAAGCGATTGCCTAAATAAATCCCTGCAGTTTTCTTGACCAGGATTTTCAGAAGGGTTTGCCGTTGCTTCTTCTTACACCTGAGAGGGAAGAACTGGCCCACGTATACCTAGCTGGCTTTGTGCCTAAGGCAAGATTAGAAGTCATCATCTCTCAGTTTTTTAGCTTGATGCCTTAACCACTGCACCAGACTTATTTCATTAATTAGCTTTTAATCTTATTAAAGCTAAACTGCATTTAAATAGAAGTTAATCTTATCTAAAAATCAGCCAGCTATGGAAGCATCCTTGTAGCTCCAGCAGTAACAGAGAGATAAGGTAGGAGCTATCAAGCATGATTAGAATTATATTTGAATACATCATTGGCTGAATTAATGCATTGCGCTAAAGCAAACCATATTGTGGTTTGTCAGGTTTCGCTTATCCTGCGATAGGAATTCACTTGTTTATTCTTGTTCAACAAACCGTAACACTTTAATGCAATATATGACTGTGAGACCAGGGATGGGGTAGCTCAGCCTCTACAACTTTTGGAGATCATTGGGTGACACAATAATATTACTGGAAGAGATAGAAATTATTATGTTGTTATAAAGCTTAGTACATTGTGTTGTTTCAATGCACAGTTGTTTGTATACTGCATTTAAAGTTAATAATATTATTATTTAGATAGCTTTTAATATTGAGAAAAGAGAAATAATTTTCTTATCAATATTACAAATTAGATTTCAATATTACATCTTGATTTGTGGAAATTTTAAGAGTTTAAAGTAAAAATGGAATAGGGAAACGTTTATTTTAACCCTTATTCTGCTTTAGCCATAGGAAACACTTTAAAATTGGACAACTGGGATGAAGACATTTTGAATTTCAGTAGTCAAGTCTCAGTGCTCTGAGGTTGTGTCTAATCTATAAGCCTCAGGCTGCACAGCCCTGCCAGAGGTAAAACATAGGCGTAACAGCCTTACTAAAATAATTATTGCTGAAAGCAGCATAGTTATAGAAGTATTTCACAATAAGCAGGCATATACAGACTGAGCAAACTGAACAGGAGCATTGTGTGGTATTGTAAAATCATACTTCTGTACGACTATAGATTTAATGTTACACTTTGGATATTTTTCTTGAAAATGTTTTAATAGGATGACAGTAAACTGTCACTTCCGAAGCATAGTGGATTGCAACATCACCAGCTTGTATGTCACAACACAAATAATTTCTAAAAATATTTTATTTACTAATAATCATAATATGACACAATATGTTTTCCTTTGGCAAAGATTACATTCTGTTTTATAAGAATAGAGACACTTTTATATGTAATTTGGCATATACATACATCAATTCAATATAGTACTTCTTGGGGAACTGGCATGTCTGACCCTTTGTTTCTTTGTCCGTTTTGGTAGCATAACAATGTATTTCTTGGGTGTATATGACTTTTTTAAATGTTTTTCTTTTTTGTATTTTTAAATTGCATTTTAACTACAATGTGTTTGTCAGCTGCTGTTACTGTTTAATTGCATTTTTAAATACAATATATTTGTCAACAGCTGTTACTATCAAAAAGCATATCCTGAGGCAGTTTTAATTCTAGTAACAATTGCCGCTATGTTATCTAGTTTCCTTTCATTTGAAACTTCTGTATGTGAATATAATTTCTCCATTAGTAATAAAGATGCAGTTATCGCCAAAAGCTGTTACTGTAACTTAACTTTTCCTTGCTTTTGCAACCATATCTGTAACACTTTTTTTCTTTACAGTATTTTGATAGTCTGTATGGCGTGTTGCCAAACGACTTGCCTCACTATGGAGGGTCGGTTGAAATTGCTGACTACTGCCCTTTTAGTCAAGAATTCAGTTGGCACTTAAGCGGTGAATTTCAGCGCAGTTCAGATTGTCGGATACTGGAAAACCAACCAGGTCAGTTGGCTTTGTACTTGACTCCACCTTTGGTCATATCCAGTAGTGTACATTTGACTCAAATTTAACACAATATGCTAGGGGATCCCAGATCACTCCGAAGGAAGCCTTAGAGCAGAGGTGTCCAACTGGATTTCTTCAAGAGCCAGATCAGCATTGGAGTTCTCCACAGGCCAGCCAGGGTCAGGGAGATGGGGCAGATGCCTCCTGCAGCACCTTGCCGGCCAAAATGGGGTGCAGGGGCCTCGTACAGTCGCCCACACCTTGTTTTCTACCTGGACGGCCTCCTGCAGCACTTTGCCAGCCAAAACGGGGTGCGGGGGGGGCATTTTCGGCGGGCCTTGAGTTTGACACCCCTGCTTAGAGCTATGATGCAGCAAGAACTTCCACTATATACGCTCTTTGAATGGTAATAATCTTGGTTTATGGACAATGCACGGTGGCTGCATAGATCTTTAGGGGACCTGCAATTTTAATATTTTTCCCTTCCCTGAAAATAGTCGTTGAGATTTCTTTTACCAGTACTGCGCTTGAAATGTTTAAAATTTGGCAGAGGTGTTCTTTTATCCTGCAATGCTTTGCCCACACCTTCTCACCCAGTGCTGACCATTCCATAAGTTGGGAGGTGTACTCCACGCATGAGCTGTTGTATGGGTAGAACATCTGGATTTGGGTGATCTGAACCTAAATTGAAAGAGGCAATCCGAGCGGCGGGCGGTGCGAGCGGCAGGCGGGGCGGGCGGTGCGAGCGGCGGGCGGTGTGAGCGGCGGGCGGGCGAGACGAGCGGCGGGCGGTGCGAGCGGCGGGCGGGCGGGCGATTTCTTGCCGTGCGGTGGGGGGTCTCTTTTGGCCGGCCCCGATTTTTTTTTCAGAGGGGAATATCATGCCTGAATCTGATAGATCCTAGCAGAAAATTGCAAATTTTTTTGTAGATCCTTTCAGAAACTATGGTGCAGAGAAATATGGGCCAAATTCCATTTGCCTCATTCAAAAGTCAGCTTTCATTATGGAACAGTGCAGAAAGAAATTGAGTTATCCTGATTGGGGTAGTGGCTGTTATCAGGTAACTGCAACACATTTTAATTTAATTTTGCATTTTGTACCACTCTGCTATATTAAAATAATTACATTATTAATTTAATTATTTGTTTCATGTTTTCTATACTGAGGCAAGTGTTACATGTATATGACTAGACTTTTTAAGAATGATGAAGGAAAAAACTGCACAATTATCAGTTTATAGATTAAGTAATTTGTAAAAGATTTTGTTCTCACATGTATGTAGTCACTAAACCTTTTACCAAATGCATGTGGAGATAACATGTTTGGATCATCAGGCTTTTGAAATAATTTTAAAGTAGGTATTAATACTAAGGTGAAGAAAATAGAGCAGGTTCATCTTAGGAGCAATTATTTGGAAAGTACCAATACATTTTGCATGTTTCTTTATATAATGAGATCGGAAACAAAGTACATCATGAAAGGTTCAAAAGCAGCTGCTGTAATGAAATAGTTTCTCTATGCAATCTACTTTGTAAACGTATCATATTTGGTTTTATTCCAAAGGTTTCTTGCTCTCCCCGTGGACTGACCGTTTGGATCAAGGACGTGGCATATTTATGCAGTCACTCAGGTCAAATTCTCACAGTGCATATTCAGATGAATGGATGGCTACATATGGGGAATCTAATTTGCCCAGCGTGCTTGGATTTCTGCGATTTCTGCCCGCCTGAACAGGATCCCCCTCCAGTTGCTAATTTAACAAGAGTTGCACCTATTGGTAAGTAAAATCAGAATAAAACTTTTAGAATTGCTCCATTAAATCATATTTATTTCTGATTTTTAACAGAAATAATGACATAACCTTCAATCACTTAGAGGATAAGAACTATTGTAGCTATTCTTCATTGCTCTAAATATTTCTGACACATTCACACGAACAACCTATTATGATTTTTTTCAGTCTTTCATTTGATAGATTAATTCCTAAATTCCTGAAGCATCTCAACTTCTAACTCTTTTTGAAGGGCAGGAGATAATAAATATTTTAAATGCTCTTCAAAGAACATTAAAAGCACCTGTACAATTACTATTTTTCTCATCTTTGTACTATTTTTTTCTATTTTAGATCTGTGTTCTTGTTCTCCCAGCCTAGTAATAACTCTATGGCTACTGATGGTGAACTTGTTTCCACTACTAGCTGGATTTCTTCTATGTGCATGGAGTTAAAATGTGTATATGGTTTGTCAGGGGTCCCCTACAGCTGAGCACATCTTGAAGGCAGCTATCCAGAAGGGCAGTCACATCGTCTACATTTTGGAAAGAGTCCAGCTAGGAAAGGCTGACTGAAGTTTCTAGAGAGATAGGGACAACATTTAGAAGGTTATCTCAATGAAGAGCTAGTGTTGACCGAAATATGTAATTTTCACATTGATAACAAATTTGGAGGAACAAATTTGTCAGTGTAGTTGAATGCCTTTGGGTGCCACTATTCAGGATGACTTTTTATTATGTGCAATTCTCTATGATATAATTTGGTAGTTGGGTTTTTGTTTTGGCATCTTTTGACAGAGATATACCTCAGTTTCCTTTAGTCAAAAGCCATAAAATCAATTGCCATTACGTTAAGAACAACTCAGCATTGTGTAGAATTTTTTTTTAAGAGTGTCTTGGCTTGGGGGTTAAGATGCTTCCAGAGTTACTCTGTAGACTCTGGTGATTCCAAGTTATTTCTTCTATGAAGCTTTTGCTGCTCAAAATATGAAATAGCTTTTCAACAGCTGCACAATATGCACTTTTAGAATATTTGAATGAAAATATTTATATCTTCATTTTAACAGTAGACAAAACTATTATTCAATGGCTTTTTTCTTCAAAGGCTAGAAACAAAGTATGTTTGCTGGCATGTAAGCTCTCTTGAACTCTGTTGAACCTATAGTACCTATAGTAGTTCTGAGTAACTGAATTTGGGCTACATACTTTGTTTCTTACCAGGTAATTTGAGGAATTTAATTACCTTTGTAGATATTTCCCTTGTGTTATAAAACAGGCAAAGATTGGTAATCTGTACCCTACACCATCCCAGTTGACTTAAAGAGTTTGAAATTCACCATTACGTTGTAGTGCATAATGATAGCAATTGGAAAACATTACAGATAACATATGGATCCCTTTGTAGCTAAAATACAGTTTTATTACCAAGGGACCACGTTTGGCTATTGGATGAAAGAACAGTTAACCTTAAATTTACATTATGGAATACAAGGGCTTAAATATACCGGGGAGTCCTTGGTGCTCTCTAAACTTGGTTGTTTGCTCGCAGACATTTCATTACCTGATTAGACAACATCATCAGTGCTAGAGAGTGTGGGGTTTGCTCCCTGTTTATAAGCACCACCTTGCCCTACAAGGTTTGTGGGGGTGTGGTTTCTCTCTTTGGTAATTCCTTGCTTAGGGTATTGTTTTCTGTTTATTTTTGTCTGGCATTAATTCCTGCTTATGTGGGTGTTGGTTATTGGAAAGGATGTGTTCTGGGAGTGGGGGTTGTTTCCTATTTAGCTTTTTTTATTGTCTCTGAATGTGTATAAATGTGGCTTATCTTTATGTGTTTGTTGATGGATGACTGCTTTGTCTAAATGATAAGCGTCCAGGAATTCTCTAGTCTTTTGGGATTTAGATTGGTCTAGGATGCCCAGTTTTCTAGTTGAAACCATGGTTGAGTTTGTCCATGTTTTGTGAGATTAAGGAGTGTTCATTATGTCTTCTGACTGCTAGTCGATGCTCATGGAGGGGCTCTGCTAGTCTTCTATCTGTCCTACATTGTGGCTGTTACCCTTCTTACACATAAATTGTGTATAAACAAGAAGCAAACCCCACACTCACTAGCACAGATGATGGTACCTAATCAGGTAATGAAACAACTTCAAAGAAACAACCAAGTGCAGAGAGCATCAAGGACTCCACAATTCAATCCTGATTACATATATTCTCTTCTGTTGGAACTTAATACTGTTTACAGGACACAGATTAATTACTGTGTCACAGAATACTGCACATTATATAAAAAAAATAGTGAATAACTTTTTATAATCCAGTTCCTTGGAGAATGAAAAATGTTCAAGGACTAGGTTGTGGTATTCTCTTTGAATTGGTTGGTGCTGTTTTCAGATTGGGAAGTAAATGTTATGTAGTCTTAAATGGTGATTCATATTCACTGAAAGCTGTGACCAATAGAGATGGTGACTAGGAATGGTCCTAAAGCTTCTTGTGAAATGTTCCAGTAGAAGCAGGCTAGTCCATGGGACTAGATAAGAATTTTAGATGGGACCCATTCTAAGAATTCTTCTCTCAAACCAGAGTATCGTTACTCCTAAAGGGAAATCTATAATAGTGCCTGTTGGATAACATTTTTTCTACAGTAGTCCCTATTTTTAGAAATAAAATGGTGAAAATTAAGTGGCTTCTCTCCAGAACAGGGATCCCCAACCGCCAGGCTGCGGCCTACTAGCGGGGCACAGCCCATACAGAACCTGGCCGAACAAGCGGTGGCCAAGCGTGTGCACGTGTGTAACTCCACTTGCACAATCGGCAGGCACTCACGTGCAAAGCTGCATTTGCGGGAATGGTGGGCACATGTGCCCGCTGCTTGCACAAATGGAGCTGCACGCGTGCCTCTACCGCTAACACAAACCATCCCCTTCCCACCCCACCCCACCCCGGGCGGGCTTCCAAGCCAGAAAGATTGGGAACCGCTACTCCACAACATGCAAAGGCTGACTGAAGAACGTGTGACAGAATTTGCTTATATTACACACCCTGCATTAGCCTTAAATAAAAGAGGGTGGAATGGAAGTAATGAGAATAGCAATAAAATATTAGGTTTGAGAAATATGTATACTTTGAATGAGGAATAGTTCATTTTCTAATCCAAATGGTTATACAGCTAAAATATTAGTGTGAAACAGATCTATAAAAATAAGGAAGACAAACTATTTTTATATGTGCAATGTAAAACTTAAATGGCATCTTGTAAGGATGTTTTAAATACTTGAACCTTTTTTCCCTGTCTGTCTTGAAGTAAAAAAAAAATTGCACTGCAGTAGGGGTTGTTTTTTTGTAAGTATTTATATTTATGTTAATGTAGTGTTGCTATGAAAATAATGCTATGGCATTCTTGACTGAGAAATGATTAATTTGTTGCTGGATTCTAGTTGATCCTTTTGAGAAATGGCTAGGAAGAAGAAAGTATGATGTGCCAGAGTACACAACGTTTAAAGAGATTTTGACTGTATTACTGTTGTATGTTGTAAACATGGGTATATCAATACATTGTATGATGCAGATTTGTGGTTGCTTTAATCTGAGATTCTTTGTATGAGCGAGAACATGGTAGCAGTTAATAATCCAATCTCAAAGTTAAATCACTTTCCTGCGTTAGTAGAAAATATTCCAGCAAACCAATGAGCCTTCATACAGTCTTTAATCAGTACAGAAAGTAAATGTTGACACTATCTCAGATACCAGACCTGCTTTTAAGAAATCTTTTTTAAATACAAGGGTTTTCAAACATTTTCAACTGCAGAATCTATTACAGGTAGTTCTCAAATTATGACAGTTGGGATTGGAATTTCCAGTGTAGGTCATGGCAGTCATAAATTGAGTCATCATGTGACTGGATCCAAATTTACAAACATTTTGACCATAAGCCTTAAGCAAATCATCATTAAGTGAATCTGGCTTTTCCAGTGGATGCTTTCTTTTGCTGGAAATCAGCCAAAAAAGGTTACATATTGCAATCATGTGACCACAAGGTGTTGCAGTCCTAAATGTGAGCTGGTTTTCAAGCACCCGAATTGCAGTCATGTAACTGCAGAGATGGTGTGACGGTCATGAGAGCAAATAGAAGTTATAAAGCACTTTTTCCATGGACAGTGTAAGTTTGAACTATTTTTAACAAACAGTTATAAGTCAAAGACTACCTGTAGCTTTTTTTTTTAATATCCATAAATTTCCGATCAAAAAGTAAAAGTGAATTTTCCCCCCCTTCTTGGTTTCTCAACGGAACCCCTTCAGGTCAGTCATAGAATGCTTGAGTGTCATGAAACACAATTTTCAAAACCCTGCCCTAGAATGTAACCAGTTATGAGATCATTTGGAAACCAGTGCTGTATCTAAGGCATAAAAGATGGCTTTTTTTCTTTTTAGGAAAAAGAGAGAAGGAATTAGTTTATATAAGTTGAATATCTTGTCAGAGTAATCACTTCCTACACGGAAGCCAACTTTTTAATAATAATTGCCTAATTTGGCTTCAAGCACATCAAGTCTTTCAGGCTGCTTAGGATTTTAAAACTAATAATTACACTGAATATTTGATTATTTGATGTTCTTAGTAGTTAAAGACACTGAGCTTGTCAACTGGAAAGCTGGCAGTCTGGGTTCCAGACCTGAGAAACATGTGATAGGGTGAATGAATTCCCATTACTTACCTCAGCTCCTGCCTACCTAGCAGTTCAAAAGCATGCAAATGCTAGTAGAGAAATAGGTTCTGCTTCGGTGGGAAGGACTCAATTGAACAAACTTTAATTTAACTTTAATTCAGTATTTCATGCTATTGTAATTATGTTTGGAAAAACAAGTAATTCACCAATTCGGAAGTTTTGCTTTTATGTGATGTACCCCATGTCTATCGAGATAAAATATAACATTATTGATGTTCTTTAATTTCCCTGAATTTCTGGAAAATGCTGTGTGTCAGATCACTTTGTACGTGTGTGTTGTTTGATGCTCTGAATGTTAATTTTTACATATGTACTGTAATTCTCATTTCTCAAACTGAAACTTGTTTCAGATTATTGAAATTAATATTTGCTACATGATGTAAATACATAATTATTTTCTATTTATTTGTGAGTTGATTTAAGAGCTGGTTAATTATTTGATGTTCAAAATATTTCCATTGCCTATGTTAAATATGTGGAAAGTTGTTTTAGTATACGGTTCATCATGAGAATATTGTGTTAATTAAAGAAATTTATTTCTAAAAAATGTTGTTTTCTCTTATTTACTTATGCATTTGTTTATAAACTGGGACAATGTAGAAGATGCTCACAGCTGCTTTTAAAAAAACACTGTAGAATGATGAATGACATTATTTAAAATTGCTATCAATTTTATCAAAATTGCTATCAAAATTGTATGATCCAGATTCATATTTTAAATAACTTTCTTGGAATTTAGCTTAATTAAAAATGCTGCAAGCCTTGTTGTCAGTATGATGTATCCATTTTCCTTTGCAGATTTATATTTTCAGCAGAATTTGGCAGAGTCTTTGGGGATTATATATTAATGTGGAAAAGTTAAAAGATGTGTATGAAAGAAAAAAATTGAGATAAGGCACTGGACAAAAAGAAAATTTGGGGGGGGAAGCATGATATAAATACTGAAAGTTTAAGATGGGTAGAGGAATGGAGTTGAGTTTTAATAAAGCTGGAGCTAAAAAGAGCAGAATAAGCTAGTCAGTGGCTGGAAATTTTGGAATATAAAGTAAAAGGAATAGAAATAGAACACTTTGTCTTGTCAGCTTTGCAACCCTATTATCGCTAAGTCCAGTTGAAATTACCCAGAGATCTCAGAATTGCTGCTTCCTAAGACACACATAGAAATGAAATTAATGAGTTGAGATGACTAGTATCAACAGATTGGTGTGTTGTGTAGCAAGCTGAAGTCATAGATTATGAGCAGTGATTTAACCATGCTTTGTCAAGGAAGACAGCTGGTTTCAAAGAGTATAAGCTAGCAGCCAACAAACTATTATGGCACTGTGAATTTAGCCATCAACATCACATGCAGTTTGATCAATTACGAACAGTGCTCAGTTAACAAAGGTAATTGAGACTGCAATTTCTCAAGCAACGCGGTCCTAAAACACAATGTTACATGACTGCATCACTTAGCAACAGCAATCCCAAGAGTCCCATTGCCCTCATTAAGCAAGAATTGTAAGGACTTACTGTCAGTTTCCCACAAGCAAAATCAAGTACTTACAAGTAGCTGGCGGGTGAGTGCTACAGCACAAGCATGGCCATCAGGTAAGGGATGACTGTTAACAGTTGTAAAGGCAGTTGCTATGGCCCAACACAAACACACTGGGAAATATCAAATCCTTGAGGGCGAAAAAGTGGTGGGATTGTGAACAATTTACCAGAGCAACTTGTGACCTTCCCTTCTTGCTTCCCTACTGACTTTGCTTATAGGAAGCCAGCAGGGAAAAGGACACAGATTGTGAATACATGACAGTGGGATGCTGCAACCATTGTTAAATGCGAACTGGTTGCCAAGCACCCAAATGACATTCTTGTGATCGTTGGGGTGCTGGGATGGCCAGAACTTCAAGGTCTGGTTATATAAGTACCACCGACACAATTTTGAATGGTTGTTGAATAAGTGGTTGTAACGAAGGGCTACCTGTAATCATTTCTTCTACCACAAATATCTAGTTTTAAATTCTACTTCACTCAAGCTGAATTAAGAAATGTGGCTCTTGATAAAAGTTATGCAATTACCAGGTGTTCAGCACAAAAGTCTGAACAATTCTCACAACAGCTAAACGTATATGATTGACTCTCTGCAAGTTCAGCTTTATACGGATGGAACTTGAGTGATGAAAATGACATTCCCACTTCAGAGTCTTCTATACTTGGGTCCTGAAGTCAATACAGAAATGCATAATAATATTTTGTCTTCACACTCGGTGCAGATGGTTACACAAAAGGAATACAGAGTAATTTCCCTTAAGACCACAATTAAGTTAATACCAGGGGCTTTTGTTTTTTTTTTTTTGTTTGCATGTTGCACGCTTGCTTTAATTCTCCATTGTCAAGTTGACAGACACCTTGCTTGCTGGCTTTGTTCTCCATGTCAGGCTGACAAATCTTGAGTCGAGACAGACTATACTGGTTAGTTGCAGCATTGGATCTTACATATGTTCCGGATGCTTTTGCAGGCAAGTGATGAACTCTTTGACTGACTTTCCTTGGTAGCAGATTAGGTAGATATTTACGAATAGTGGAAACCTAGGAGAAATGCAGTTGAAGATAAATCTTCAATCAGTATGTTGTTTTGTACCCTGTATAATCATTGATGTGTACGCAAGGATCGGTATCAGGTAATTTTTAACTAGCAATTCTTTTGACTAGCATTTTGTTACACTTATTTTTGTAGAACAGCCTTCTCCAACTAGATTGTTAGATAGGTAACTTGGGAAATTTGATCCTGAGATTTGGACATACAATTTTTCATGGATAATGATAGCAGTGTGATTAGAACTGAAGGTTGTATAAATTACCGTAGAAATTATTTTTACAAGTTTTTTTTACAAATTGCTATAATCAACTGAAAATTTCAATTAACTATCCTTCACAATGAATGGCCATCTAAAAAGACTGAACTCCTAAATTTCTGTGAATCAACTTGAATTATCAATTTACATACAGTAGATCATGATATAATCATGTGGAAATGGAAACCAAATTAAAACATTTAGAGACGTTCCATCTTTTGAAAGTAATTCTTTCATACCACAAATATGGAATTAAATATAACATCCCACTACTTTTAAAAGAATGAAAAATTAGCATGGTGAGAAAAAGTCATCTTTGGAGTATCTTTGGATTTTTATTTTTTACATAGATGTACAAGTATGAGTGGCTGGGTGTATAATAATTGGACATTCTACAGCTAAATAGCTATAGCAATAAGAGTAGCAGCAAAAAATGAGTTGAATTAGCTTGAGTTGTTTCATTTCACTTGAAATTTTTAGATTAATTAATAATATCAGGCCCAAAATTAGCATTAGCAAAACTGGGTTGCAAAAATTCTGACCACTAGAGAGCACCAAAGAGAGAGAAAAAGAGATCTGATTCTTCACTATTATTTAGTGAAAATATTGCTCTGGATTTTTGCAGCCAACAAAAATAACAAAACTCACTGGATTATTGGTTGAAATGTTCTGAATGACCCACGGCTGTTCATAGGTGTTTTTAGTATCTAAAAAAAACCCTACTTACTTGTCAACCAAATTCTTCTGCTTCAGGATCTTATAGACTTCAGCTGATGTTTGAGGTCCTTGTAGCTTCTGTCCATTCAACATTTCTTTTTCCAACTGTTCAATTGTCTAAAATAAAGTACGAGTTGCTTGTTTTAGAATGAATGAAATGGCATTAAATTCTATATAAGCTGATGAAAAAATCTGAATATTTTAAAGCTCTAACTTTCCAATACAGTACAAACTAAATAAACAGGATTTTGGAGCCATTTCTAAACTTGAGTTTAATGGTTTTAAAATTATGAAATGTATTATAATAATAATATAATTTAGAGCTAAGCTACATGTGACATTATACATGCATTCACACTTTAACCATTGAATGAACCAGCTGGCTGGGTTCACAAAATTGATTTACCCTCAGGGTCCTACTGTAGCTTCTAACAGTACTCAATCTTCATTGAAAACAAAATAAAACCCATCTTCATTTTTGAAATATGGATTCAGAAATAATTGGATGACTCTAGGAAGTGCTGTAAGTGAATAATGGGGAATCTGCTTTAGAGGCAGATGCATTCTCCCTGTGTTTGCAATGTGGGGAAGCAGTCTCAATTCAAACTTATAAAGATGAGGGTTTCTTTTTTTAATTGTAAGGGCTTACTTTCAAGAAATCACAGGATTGTGGAGGCTACCTGTACTTGAAAACTTCTTAATTAAAAATTAATATATCCCTTAAAAATTCAGGGAGATATTCACAAATATATCTGCCTTGAAAGTAGCTCATGTTGAACTGTGTAGCCAAGTCAAACATCAGATATTGACCACAGGAAATTGTTTATGACATTTTTATTAGGTCATTAAGTGTTTTATGATCATTTTAGGTCATAAAATTGTTTATAAAATTTGCCAAATGTCAATTCCATGGGAGTCATGGCTCCCAGATTTGGGGTGCTTTCTGTAAGTTAGCCCACTTGAGGTACCTTGTTTGAAAATGTTTTGTCCTATGATATGCTATTTTGTTCAGTTAAACGTTACAGACACGAGAGTTATAATAATATATACAGGATATTATCAGACATGTCAAATCAACTTCAAAAACACACTGACCCTGCCCCCATCAACCAACAGCATGTCTGGCTACTTCCCCAAAATTGTGCTCTACTAAGCTATGTAGTTTTATCTTTAAAATGCAGCCAACTTCTCTTCCTCATGCAGGGAATATAGCAAAACATGTCCTTACTTTTCCTCCACGTGCAAATGCTTCAGCCACCTTCCTGTTACGTCCCCCATAGCATGTGGTAATCAGATCTGCAACCCCACAGCTTTCCAGAAATGTATTTATGGAGACTGTGCCCTTGCAGAAGATTTTAGCAAAGGCAATCATTTCCATCAGGCCCAGGCGAATCACAGCTGCCTTGGTATTGTCCCCAAAGCCCAGCCCATCACAGAAGCCAGCTCCAACAGCCACAATGTTCTAACATCCAATGGAAAAATTAGGAAGAAGGAAAAAAAGAAATCATGAGTTAAAAACATCAGATAATCTTGGGTTCTAATAACTGAGACCAAACCCTTACTAGCACTGATGATGTTACTTAGTTGGATAATGGAATGTCTGGAGGAAAACAACCAAACTCAGAGACCACCAAGGACCCCTCAAATCTTGGGCTCTCCCACACAAGACCCATAACTACCACTTTGATACCACCCACCAGGCTGCCAGGCTAATCCAGATGTTAATTATGCTTTATAGTTTAATACATAAAAACCCAACTAGCAAAAACTGACTGAAACTATGCCTGAACACACTACAGCTTAAAGTTTAAGCCTTAAACTGTTCTATTTAGTGACTGTAATTAGTCCTAATGATATAATGGTTCAGATGTAGTAATAATTCTGTTTTAGAAGATTATATAGGACAAAGGAAAACAAAAATAATGGACTTCTGCTTCACCTTCATTAGCCAGAATTAAGAGGTTAAGATGCTAAAGCAGAATATCATGAAAAATGATCCTTATAAGAAAGAGTGAGAGAGAGAGAAAGAAAAAAAGAACGAACGAATGAACAAACTTTGGATACCCAATTAGTAACTATAGTTGAACAGCTTTAGTTGCTATTAGAGCTACAGACCTGAGACAGACCTCATAGGTGTATTTAATTAATCTAGTACTTAGAATGTAAAGATATACTGTTTTATTTATTGGTGATAATCTCAATTAAAAATCAGTATGTAAAACTTTTATGACTCAACTAAGCAGCAAACTCAGTATGCAGACCTGCATTTGGCCTAACCATGGAGGGATTCACACAAATATTAAAACATGATAACTTTGTTTATAGCTCAGAGTGTTATGTGAACATAGCCAGTAAGATAGGTAAATCACACCTGATGGTTTCATGTTTAGCATACATCTAGCTCGTTAAGTATTTAATTGGTAAGTTACAATTAAGCATAGTATA